AGAGGAGAGAGGGAGAGAATTTTTTTTAATATTTTATTTTTTAATTTTCGGCGGACACAACATCTTTGTTGGTATGTGGTACTGAGGATCGAACCCGGGCCGCACGCATGCCAGGCGAGCGCGCTACCGTTTGAGCCACATCCCCAGCCCCAAATCTTTTCTTTTATTCATAAGCCGACCTTCAAACCAAAGCCATTTCATAGGAACTATGTAAACTTGCTCCACGGACTTCTATACATTTCTGTCCTGGAAGATACAGTATTACATCTCCAACTTAGGCTAATTTACCCCTTAAATCTATCTCTTTTTAAATAAAATATTCTATCAGTCACCTTTTTTCCTTTATGTTTTTACTATCTCCCAATATGTTGGTTCTGCCTGTCAAATTTGATTGATGCTCAAGTTTTTCTCCATTCTAAACAACAAACTGAAACAATTTTTCCTGCTGATAGAAAAGGAAGAACAGCATTCACTGATGGACTCCTAGGTACAAGCATCATAGGTGGCATGCTGTTGCAAAATCCTGTCCATTCCTTACTCTGTAACTACATTTTCCTCTCTGCCTCTTTGTTGTTATTGCTCCCCCATCTTATCAGAATTGAACTCAGGGTCACTAACCACTGGCCACATCCCAACCTTTTTTATATTTTATTTTGAGACAGGGTCTTGCTAAGCTGCTCGCATAGTTGCTGAGGCTGGATTTGAACACATAATCCTCCTACCTTAGCCTCCTGAGCCACTGAGAGTACAAGTGTGAGCCACTGCTCCCAGCTATGCTAGAATAATTTTTCCAGTAATATCACTATCTACTGCAAGAGTCTTCAGTAACTCTCCATTACCTTTAGAATAAAATTTAAACCCCTCCCATCTCCGTTTAGAATAAGTAGGAAGCCCCTAGAACCCCCTCCTCCTAACCCCGGGAATGGAAATATGGGCTACTGATCTTTGGGTCCTTTTTTTTTTTAAGTATCCTACAAATCTTAATTTCTAAACAAGTAAATATCAGCCTTTATAACCCACTGAAGCAAAAAGCTTTAGGAGTCCATATATATATATATATATTTAGTTGTTGTTGGAACTTTATTATTTATTTATTTAGTTGTATGTGGTACTGAGAATCAAACCCAGTGCCTCACACATGCTGAGCAAGTCTTTACCACTGAGCCACAATCCCAGATGTCCTTTTTTTATTATGAAACTCAAAAAGGTCCTGAAGGCAAAAAAGTGAGATGACCACTGGGAATTATGCCTAGGGACTAGGACATTTCCTTCTCTGACCTCAGAAGATGCCACTGTGAGGAAATTTTCAAACACTGGGTATGTAAGAGGCTGGCTATAGTTGGATTTTTGTCCATAAGTACAGGAAGCTTTGGTGGTAACCCTTTCGGGCACCCAGATAGCACATTTGATGGTTGGTGGTTGGTGGCTGGTGGTTGTGGTCTTCTGACACTGGTTTATTTATTTATTCTGTTTTGTTTATTTGTTGTTTTCTTTTGTCTTGTTTTTAGCTAGCATTTTTAGTTGTTGGTTTGTCTCAGGATGTGTAGTGAGAATAGTCTACTATTCTACTTACTACTGCTACAGGGGCCCAGCTCCTGCTGAGACCACCTTCAGGGACCATTATCAGGTCCAGATGGCCATCGAGCTGGGGGGTTTTGCACAGGTGAAACTAGCCTGCTATCTCCTCACTGAAACGGAGATGGCAGTGAAAGTCCAAACGAAGGTAGCTGAACATCCCCATCCTATCTGAACGGGATATGATGATGGCCATGGGACACTGAAGTGTGATCCAGCTTTTTCAGGTCATTGAGACCATGGAAAATATCTACATCATCATGGTGGGGGGATAGCCACAGCACCAGAACCCAGAGGCTGGTGGCATGCAGGAGGAGGAGGCCTAGAGTTCAGATAGCTCTCCAGTGTTATGTCTACTGCCATGAGAAGGGCCTGGAGCACCTAGAACTGAAGGCAGAGAACATCCTGATGGATGCCAGTGACAACATCAAACTCATTGACTTTGGCCTGAGTGCCAGGTTCACAGTTGAGCAGAAACTGAAAAAGTTCTAGGGTGCTCTTCCTGTACTTTGCTCCTGAAGTCATCCAGTAGAAAGAATATGAGGGCCCTCCTAGTGGATGTCTGGAGCCAAGGTGTTATTCTGTATTTTATGGTCACAGGGAGCCACCCATTAATAGCAATGACATTCCCCCGCATGTTTCCAAGGGTACATGAAGCCTCATAAATCAAATATTGATGGTGTATTCTATGCAGACGTCCACAGAGCAAATGATGGGGTACCCATGTTTGAGCCAAGGTTAAGACTCTTCACCCAGTCATTCTAGTGAGCCACTCCCCAAATACCTGAATCTCACAATTATGACAATCATGTTTGCCATGGGTTATGACCCCTATCATACCTGGGTGTCCCTAGCAAATCAAAACCACAATGAGGCCATAACTATGTATCTCATATTCCAGCACTTGGGGCGGGCTGCACGTTCAAGGTAAAGCCTGTATGTCAGGGGGCTTGGGCCTCGACCAGGCCCTGCAGATACTTCCAATGTCCACCCAAACAAGGAGTATCAGTGTATCAGTGAGCCTGCCCTTCCCACCTTCCTCTTGCCTGGTGAGCAGCAGCTGACTGAGGTGGTCAAGCAGTCAAGGAAGAAGGGCAGTAGAAGTTCCAGCATGTGCCACCATTCATCTTCACTTCCTGCATTCAAGGACACCCACTTCCAGCATAGTCTCTCCTCATGATCTTGTGTCCCACAGGCCCAACCCCTGTACAATCCTCATTAGGTGGGTCACTGCAGACAGCAGCATGTCCTCCCAGCATACTTCCTCAGAACAATCCCCCGACAACAACAAGAATCACCACTTCATTCAATAATTGTTGTTACATGTCATGCTTCTGTGGGCCAGCATTTAGAAAGAAAAAAAAAAGTGCTTCAATGGAAGGAGGGCAGAAACACGCTAGATTCAAAAACAGTGGTCCAACCAAAATGCAGAGCTGAGACAGATAAACCAATGGATAGTCAGAAGACCCTGAACCCTGTGGATCCTGATGTCATGGCTTGGGCATTTGTTAGGTGTGGACTCAAATAGTTGCAGGAGTGAGGTGTGCAAACTGGCTCAGGCTTCTCCACATAGGTTCCAGCCAGGAGCACCTCTGAGTCCATCAGGAATATCTTCTGCCCCCATCTTGAGCCATTATAAATAGAGATTCCATCCCCTTGACCTAGTGTAGATGGAGATTCTCCCCTTGGAGCTAGTGTGGACTTGATTATGTTTGAGATAAAGTATTCTCCAGCCAGGTGCGGAGGTACACGCCTGTAATTCCAGCGGCTCAAGAGGCCGAGGCAGAGGGTGGCAAGTTCAAAGCCAGCCTCAGCAACTCAGCGAGACCCTGTCTCTAAATAAAATATATAAAAGGGCTGGGAATGTATCTCAGTGATTAAGTGCTCTTGGTTCAATCCCAGGTACCCAAAAAAGAAAAAAAAATATTCTCAAGATTTGTCTTTATCGCTACCAGACCTTAAACTACACTACAGAGCAATAGTAACAAAAACAGAATGGTACTGGCACCAGAACAGGCCAGTAGACCAATGGTAGAATAGAGGACACAGAGACTAACCCACAAAATTACAACTATCTTATATTAGACAAAGTTGCCAAAAACATGCACTGGAGAAAAGATATCATCTTCAACAAATGGTGCTGGGAAAACTGGAAATCCATATGCAACAAAATGAAATTGAATCCCTATCTTTCAGCATGCACAAAAGTTAACTCAAAATGGATCAAGGATCTAGGAATTAAACCAAGGACTCTGTGTCTAATAGAAGAAAAAGTAGGCCCTAAACTTCATCACGTGGGATTAGGCCCCAGCTTCCATAATAAGACTCCTATAGCACAAGAATTAAAACCAAGAATCAACAAATAGGATGGATTCAAACTAAAAAGTCTTTTCTCAGCAAAAGAAATAATCTTTGAGGTGAACAGGGAGCCTACATCCTGGGAGCAAATCTTTACCCCTAACACATCAGAAGGAGCACTAATCTCTAGGGTATATAAAGAAGCTAAGCATCAAAAAAAAAAAAAAAAAGAAATAATCCAATCAATAAATGGGCCAAGGACCTGAACAGACACTTCTTAGAAGAGGATATACAATCAATCAACAAATATATGAAAAAATGCTCATTATCTCTAGCAATCAAAGAAATGCAAATCAAAACTACTCTAAGATATCATCTGACTCCAGTCAGAATGGCAGCTATTATGAAGACAAACAACAAGAAGTGTTGGCGAGGATGTGGGACAAAAGGATTGCCACTTCATTCAATAACTGTTGTTACATGTCATGCTTCTGTGGGCCAGCATTTAGAAAAATTATCTTTGACTTTTTTAATTTCATTTTTTTTCTTTCAGCTTATACTTGACTTTTTTAATTTCATTTTTTCTTTCACTCATACATTACTGGTGCAACTGCAAATTGGTGCAGCCAATTTGGAAAATAGTATGGAGATTCCTTGGAAATCTGGGATTGGAACCATTATTTGACCCAACTATTCCTTCTCAGACTCTACCCTAAGGACCTGAAAACATCATACTACAGGGACACAGCCACATCAATGTTTATAAGCAGCACAATTCACAATAGTTAAACTGTGGAGCCAACCTAGATGTCCTTCAGTGGATGAATGGATAAAAAAAAGTGTGACATTTATACACAATGGAATATTACTCAGCACTAAAAATGAACAAAATCATAGTATTTGCAGGTAAATGGATGGCATTAGAGCAGATAATGCTAAATGAAGTTAGCCAAACCCCAAAAAACAAATACCAAATGTTTTCTCTGATATAAGGGAGGTAACTCAAAGTGGGGTAGGGAGGGAGAGCATGGGAGGAATAGATTATTTCTATTTTTTTTTTAAAGAGAGAGTGAGAGAGAGAGGGACGGAGAGAGAGAGAATTTTAATATTTATTTATTTTTTCTTAGTTCTAGGCGGACACAACATCTTCGTTTGTATGTGGTGCTGAGGATGGAACCCGGGCCGCATGCACGCTAGGTGAGCCACATCCCCAGCCCTAGATTATTTCTAGATAGGGAAGAAGGGTGGGAGGGAAAGGGACAGGGAAGGGGATTAGCAAAGATGGTGGAATGTGATGGTCATCATTATACAAAATATATGTATGAAGATTTGAATTTGATGCCAACATACCTTATAATCAGAGATATGAAAAATTGTGGTATATATGTGTATTAAGAATTGTAATGCAAAAAAAGAGTACATGTATAATGGCATAATTTGGCATGAACATACTTTATATTCAGAGATACGAAAATTGTGATGTATATGTAATAAGGATTGTAATACATTCTACTGTTGTTGTGTATTTAAAAATAAATAAATTTTTAAAATTATTGGCTACATGGAAAAAAAAAAAGATTTGTTTTTGAGAGCTGGTATGGTTGCACACACCTGTAGTTCCACAACTCAGGAGGCTGAGGCTGGAGGATTACAAATTCAAAGCCAGCCTTAGCATCTTAACAAGGCCCTAAGCAACTTAGTGAGACCCTATCTCAAAATAAACAATAAAAAGGGCTGGGAATGTGGCTAAGTGGGTTCAATTGATGGTACCAAGTAAATAAATAAATAAAATAATAGAATAAATAAAATTAAAAAAGGGCTGGGGATGTAGCTCAGTAGTAAAGCATCCCTGGGTTTGATCTCTAGTACCAAAAAGAAGAAGAAGAAAGAAAAATTGTCTTTGACTTTTTTAATTTCATTTTTTCTTTCAGCTTAAATATTACCTCTTCCTACATGTCTTACCTGATGGGACACTACTTAAAATAGCGTCCCTTCTTCCTTACTGTGTATCCATTAAATTATCTGGAGTTTTTTTATTCACATTTATTGTCTCTACCCTCCCAAGAAGTACACGCAACTCAGATCCACTTTCCCACTGAGCTTTGATGCTTAATTCCAAATGTTCCTTTGGGTTCCCACCACTCAAAGCTCCTTCATTGCTAAGGTGGTACAACCAGGTTGGTTCAGAATAGTCTGGGTTTTTGCAGCATAATTATTAATAGTGTGCTCACTTATCCTCAAAAGTTTCCAAACTTGGACAATAAATAATAGAATCACAATCTTATCTATCTATCTATCTTTCCATCTATCTATCTAGATATGAGAACAGAATGCATTACAATTCTTATTACACATATAGAGCACAATTTTTCATATCTCTGGTTTATACACAATATATTCATACCGATTCATGTCTTTATACCTGTACTTTGTTTTTATTTTATTTTATTTTATTTTTATTTTTTTTAAGAGAGAGGAGAGGGGGAGAGAGAGAGAGAGAGAGAGAGAGAGAGAATTTATTTATTTTTAGTTTTTCGTCGGACACAACATCTTTGTTGGTATGTGGTGCTGAGGATCAAACCCGGGCTGCACGCATGACAGGCGAGCGCTACTGCTTGAGCCACATCCCCAGCCCCTATACCTGTACTTTGGATAACAATGATCATCACATCCACCACCATTTCTAACCCCATGTCCCCTCACTTTCTCTCCAACCCCTCTGCCCTATCTAGAGTTCGTCTATTCCTCCCATGCTCCCACTCTTTATTCCACTGTGAATCAACCTCCTAATATCAGAAAAAACATTCAGCATTTGTTTTTTTGGGATTGACTAACTTCGCTTAGCATTATCTTCTCTAACTCCACCCATTTACCTGCAAATAATTGATTTTATTCTCTTTTATTGCTGAGTAATATTTCATTGTGCATATATGCCACATTTTTTTGATTCATTCATCTATTGAAGGGCATCTAGGTTGGCATCTCACTCCAGTCAGAATGGCAGCTATTATGCTATTATACAAACAACAATAAGTGTTGGCAAAGATGTGGAGGAAAAGGCACACTCATACACTGTTGGTGGGACTGCAAATTGATGTAGCCAATATGGAAAGCAGTATGGAGATTTCTTGGAAAATTGGGAAACCACCATTTGACCCAGCTATCCCTTTCTTCGGCCTATTCCCAAAGGATTTAAAAATAGCATACTACAGGGACACAGCCACATCAATGTTTATAGCAGCACAATTCACAATAGCTATACTGTAGAATCACAGTCTTTATAGCTTTGAATCATAAGACATTTGTAAACAGTTCTTATTGTCATGCTCGAATTCGGGACCCCCAAAAGACCACTAGAGACCAAGATTGATGTAAACAGCAAAGAGGTGTTTATTTTGAGCTAGCTCGGTCCTCCGCGCACACACAGCAACTGGTGACGCTGAGAGGCCCTGAGCCCATGGTTTGCAGCAGCTTTATACATTCTTTGGAGAAGTCAGGGACTTCACATACATCATAGCATCTCTTAGCAAATCATCACACACCTCAGGAAAATCAAATAACAACTCTAAAACATGATTAGCACATTCACTGGCGGAAACAAGTTGGGTAGGGTGATTGGTCAGTACAAAAGGGGTATTCATTTGAACTGATTGGTTTAAGCCATGAGGGGGTGTACATGCTGAACTACATGGTTTCCCAACATGTTATCAACCACCATAAACTACTGGGAGGGTCATCTGGCATCCCAGGTATTTCCCTGTCTCATGCTGATTGGTGGCTGCTAGGGGGTTACTATGGGTCTCCACCTAGCCTGACTGAGTCAGGGACACCTGGCACAGCAGATCTCTCCTGTTATTTGTAGATAAACAACTTAGCAGGGTGGGAATGTGCTTAGGAGTGCTCTGTGGGTTTTTCCAAGGACAAAGGCCATGCCCCTTCCTTGGACAGGCTTTGCTCTGAGATAGAGGCTGGTTTTTCATTATTTCCAAGCCCAATGAGGACAGAAACAAAGGCACATTCATCTTTTTATTTTTATTTTTTTAATATTTATTTTTTAGTTATTGGCGGACACAACATCTTTGTTTGTACGTGGTGCTGAGGATCGAACCTGGGCCACACGTACGCCAGGCGAGCACGCTACCGCTTGAGCCACATCCCCACCTCAACACATTCATCTTTAATCAAAAACAGTTAGTAAAATATTTTTCATACACATAGTAGAATTCAGAAAGTATTTGGTAAATGGACTGGATAATAGATTACAATAAGATAATGTATGTGAAGAGACTAGTATAATATCTATATATAGTAAATGTGTCATTTTTTTATTAGTTGTTGGTGGATCTTTATTTATTTATTTATATGCAGTGCTGAGAATCAAATCCAGTGCCTCACACATGCTAGGCAAGCACTTTACCACTGAACCATAACCCCAGCCCAATTTTTTTTTAATTTTTAAATTTTATTTAAAATAATAATTAGTTATGTATGACAGCAGAATGCAATTCAATTCATATTACACAAATAGAGCACAATTTTTCATGTCTCTGGTTGAACACAAAGTAGAGTCACACCATTCGTGTTTTCATACATGTACTTAGGGTAATGAATTCTGTCTCATTCCACTGTCTTTCCTACCCCCATACCCGGCCTTTCCCCTCCCTCCCATTTGCCCTATCTAAAGTTCATCTATTCCTCCCATGCTTCCCCACCCATCCCCATTATGAATCAGCATCTTTATATCAGAGAAGACATTTGGCATTTGGAATTGGCTTACTTACTTAGCATTATATTATCCAACTCCATCCATTTACCTGCAAATGCCATGATTTTACTCTTTTAATGCTGAGTAACATTTCATTGTATAAATATACCACATTTTCTTTATCCATTCATCTACTGAAGGGCAGCCCAATTTTTTTTAAAAAGTTCAATAATATTACCTTCCCATTTCTCAGAGAACTCCAAATGTCATGTCTCAATATCTTTGTTTAGTGACCATATTATACAATATAATACCCAAGTATGGACTGGTTTGTTTGCCTTTACTGAGTTTTTGTTTTGTTTTGTTTTTATTTTATTGTCTTCCCTGTAATAGATCAAAAGCTTTTTTAAAGTAGTTATCATATTTTATAGTTCTCCGTTCCACACAGCAGAACCAGTTCTTATTTGTAAATCAGTTGATATAAAGATGTCAATATTGATTAGATGTTTAATTTGCAGAAGAGAGAAATTTTGACAATGGTATTAGGTTATACCACAGTCGGTGACATGAGTGTCAAGATCACCTTCTGTGTTTTGAAATGCACATCTCCATGTTCTTCCAGGTAGCTTCAGATATCTTCACTCCTATTGTTGGTAAAGATGGCACCTGGAGCACTTCTCTTTCGGGAGCTCAGGTCCATGAAGCACTGAATGGCTCGAGAACTGTCACCTCCAATCCCTGTGAATGGCGCGAACTTTGAATGGCGCACCTCCAATCCCTTAAGTGGCTCAAACTCTCAGCCAATGAAGAAGTAACAGCCCACTTGCCTTGCTCCTCCTCATCTTGTGTTAAGCCCATAAATATCAACACCCTGTTCCTGCTCTCTCTCT